ACTCTTTCCTCTGCTGAGCCCTTACACATCTAATGAGGAAAGCAAAGGTGACACTGCAGCTTGGATGTATCAGATGACAACAGCACTGTAGACTGGGCAATACCCAGAAAACACACTCTCAACGAGTGCTGAGTGAGTGCTGCAGCAATTAAAGGAATTTGTTTTCTTTCCTTTTTATTTAACACCACAATGGCCATTAAATGCCCTGTTTCAGATTGAACAACGGGTTTCCATTTTGCTGAGGAAAACAAAAAATCTCCTTAACCAAAATGAAAAGCACAAAATGTTCACATCAGATTAAAAAAGTATGTAATTTCAGCCAAAATTAGATTTCTTTCTTATCTTTCTTGAGATAAGTCCACCATTTTCTAGGTTTGGGGTTCTTTTTTTTCAATAGATTTGGAGGCAGAACTGAAAAAGTCAAGTACAGCATGGGTGTGGGGAGGAGTGATAGCATTTGTGAGAGCAACTGATACCGCTGGAGAAAACAGACAAGCCTCCAGGCACAAAACAGTTATTTGTTTCTTCCAGCTCTATCAGCTGGTCTCATAAAGGCTGTTCCCTCTTCTTCCAAAATTCTCCTCCCTTATCTCCTTAGTCCATTCTGGCTGCAAGAATGCATCTATTGGAACAGCAGTTGTTAGTACTGTTTGACATATAAACATGACAGACAAATCTAGAAATTACGATGGCGGCCAGTTAAACCCTATCTATTTGTACAGATTCTTGTGTCTAACTCAAGACTAAAATAGTTCCTTAATCAGAAGGCAGACAATTAACAAAATACAATGTTATTAACTCTACCAGCATCAAGAGCTGAGCACAGCCTGCTCCATTGCTTCTGTTACTTGGGTCCCCCATAGGTCTAACAGCACACAGCACTTTGACAATGCAGAGAAGAGCAGCAAACCTGAGCAGTTTGTAGAAGTGCCCATCCAGAATAGGTCTGTGACTGCATCCTTTGACAAGAGTGAGAAGATCACCATGACTTGAGGATTTGTAGAGATGGATGAGCTTACTAGCCCGTAACTCTTTTCTAGAGAGTAAAATCAGAGAAGGAGAAATGTATGTGATACCTCAGAGAAAGTCCCAATAATAGTACTTCAGAGTGGCTGTGGCACAAGCTTCTGGACAAAAAGAAACAGGCGTTAAAGCGAGCATAATGTGGGTGAGTTTGAGACATGCCAGATTGTCTCATGCACTCTTAGCACATAACAGCACAGCTTTGCCAGTGCCTTAAGAGCACACATCACTGGAGAGCATCCCACCCTGCCAGACCGCTTTTCAGGGGAGAGCTACGTGAGGGGGTCTGAGCACCACTCTGCCCTGTGACTCTCCCTGAGCTTTCTATCTCACATCATTCCCTTTTTCTGTAGATCCTTATGCTGGACCTATTCTGCTGGATGAGAAACTAGCGTCTCGCTGTGGCTACGTCCTGTCAGAAGACGTGTGGGGCAACCCTGTCTTCCGTGCATCAGTGCTCGGCTGTCATGTGGTCAATGAGGTAAGTCCCAAAGAAAAGGCAGATTTGAAAAACAGACTGTACGTCCTCTCCAAAAAGACAAGACTGAGGTATTACATGGCATTCTAATGGCATGTTTTGAGAACTCAAGAAACAGTGAACTCAAGGAGTTAGTGTTGATGGTGTGTAGAAATGAATAGGCAATGGCTTTCCAGTATGAGGTTTGTTCAGTGTGACTGACGTGGGATTTCCTCTCTCCATGACATGACACTTAGCCTAATGCTGCTGACTAGCTGCCAGTTCTCAAGCATATCCTTGCAGCTGCTGATTTGCCAGAGAGTTTCTTGAAAGCCTCTCTGGAAAGAAGTAGGCATCTGCTTGAAAAAGTAACATTTGCAGTGTGATTCTGGCAGATCATTTCCTGGCTTAATTTGTGTGGTAATGTGCCTGTTAACACATGCCTAGGAACGTAGATCACACACATCTATTAGACCCAGCTTTGTCTCACGTAACCTCAGCCATCTAAAAGATAATGTCTAGTCTAAACTAGTTGTTTATGCTTCCACAATAGTCAGTGGAGAGAAGAAGGCATCTCTGGAAGGTGATTCACCCCTTCCTAAAATATGTGTAAAAGTGTAGCCTGGATTTCTAATTTTAAATGTTAGTTGAGATGTAATGTACCTAGAAACAGAATATATCAGAGCAGAAACTTCATTGCTTGTCCATGTTTAGTCTGGTTGATCCTGGAATCTCCACAGAAAAAATAAGTTAAAACTTTATGGGCAGAGGTTATACTAGCAAGAACAGGGGGTGTACAGTGCACGGCGCAACGACCAGCATTTCCAGACTGGAAATTTCTCTGGAAAGGTTTTGCCTATTTTTGTAGAAAAATACACATCCATGTCAGATAGAAGCACAATTCATGGTTTCATCTCTGGCTCCTGGAGAGCTGAAGGATCAAAAAGGGCTCTTATTGAAGCTAGTCAAGATAGACACTAAACAGCATTTCTAAG